GCTCGGCTTTATCTTCTTATCTTTATCTTCCTTACCTTGCTTATCCTTATCTTTATTTTGTTTATTTTTATCTTTATCTTTATCTTCTTATCTTCCTTATCTTTATCTTCTTATCTTCTGAACATTCCTTATATTTATCTCCCGCAACTTCTTCCTTATCCTTGCCAGTGTGGTTTGGAGGAGAGCAGAAAAAGCTCGGAGCTTAGCTGCGTAGGCAATTCGGAGCCATTCTAAATGGCCCGGAGTCGAGCTCTATTGGCACGGATAAGGAAGAACATGCGGGAGATAAACATAAGAAAAATTAATAAGATAAGAAGATAAAAATAACGAAGATAAGAAGATAAAGATAAGGATAAACAAGATAAGGAAGATAAAGATAAGAAGATACAGATAAGAAGATAAAGATAAGAAAGATAAGAAAGATAAGAAAGATAAGAAGATAAAGATAAGGAACAAAAGAAAGATAAGAAGATAAAGATAAGGATAACGGAGGATAAGAAGATAAAGATAAGGATAAGGAAGATAAAGATAAGGATAAAGAAGAGAAAGAAGATAAAGATAAGAATATAAAGATAAGGAAGATAAGAAGATAATGAAGATAAAGATAAGGAATATAAGAAGGTAAAGATAAGGATAAGCAAGATAAAGATAACGAAGATAAAGATAAGGATGAGCATGAATCTATCCAGTGTTCTTCCTTGGAGCCAGCTCCATTAGGATATTATACAGTATCTTACGATATCAAACAATATCTTAGGATATCATACAATATCTTAGGATATCATACCGTATCTTATAGGCTTTGGTAGATAGTGCTCGAAAAAAAAGCATATTGTACGTGCTTTTAGAAGTGCTCGTATTTTTTAGAAATTATGCCAAAATTATGCTACTTTCTGAAAATTGTGCTCTCTGTCACTGAAACTATGCTACTTACATTTTTAAGGAAAATAAATATCACCAGTACCTTAACTCTATCAATGAACATTCCTATAGTCTAACTTCAGGTCTTGCAGTCTTTATCATCGCAAATACGCATGTGCGCACCTCGAAAAGCCAAATGATTAACAAATGATATCAAAATCAACCGTTTCTGGGTTCTGAATCCGGGTCAGAAAGTTATAGCCAGCATACTTGTTTTAGACGCCATCTAAGCGTGATAAAGCCACCAGTTCAGTATAAAGACAACTATGCATGTTGTTAATGTCTGTGTTATCGGT